CTGAGGCTGCTCCAGCCTCGGCAGGATGCTCTGGGAGGGGCTAAGTTTACCCTACTTGAAAGGAAATGGGTCCTAAACCCTTTGAGTTCCTGCTCACAGCCTGGTCTCTGCGCCTCCTGGGTGAAGGGACTTGGGGGCACCAGCCTCTGCTAGAGGGCTGTGCTGCCCACTGTTCGGGGTAGGGCTTTGCACTGGCGTCCACATTGATCCTCTGAGAAGTCCCCAGGGGTCTCTGGGTGAGCCCCCTCCCCCACGTCTTCCCAGTCCCCTGATGCCATGCGGGTGGCAAAATCATAGGCCCGATGTCCCTAGGGAAAACCTCCCAGGTGACTTTTGTCTACTTCCTCCTTTAAAAGCTGGTCCTAGAAGGGCCGTGACTCGGGAAGCTGAAGGTGTGTTTAGGGTTGAGCAGGCCCGGGCAGTGGCTTGCTGACTGAATCCTCTCTACTCCTGGTCTCCCCCCACCCCCACTCCCCACCATCCCCACCCACATCACCTTCCTTCCCTCCCCTCCCCCCCCCCAGCCAGAGCCCGTGACAGGTTGGGCTGACAGCATAGAGCCCTAAGGGAAGTCTGCCTGTCCACCACGCCTATCCTTGCCTAGAAAGTTCATCACGATGTCTAGTTAGAAGGAGCCATGTGGGAACCCAGCCGAGTCCAGCCTGGGGGTTCTCCTGGCTCAGGGCTCCCCCACCCAGGCTGTGCGATCGCTGTCCTCTGTCTGTGTCTTGTCACTCAGGATGCTTTGTGAGAGCCTCCCTACTGGATGCCCAGAGCGAGAGACACAGTGGCACCCAACCACAGTCTGGGAAACATGGGGTGGGGGAGCTCACAGGCTCCTGGGTTCAGACAAGCCCTGGTGGGGTGGGGGGGCAGAGGTTTCTCCAGCACCCCAGGGGGGCCTTGGGCAATGGGGTTTCAGCACTAGGCTTGGATTTGCCTTTGGCCCTGGTCTAGCCAGGAACACAAAGCTGACCCACCATGCGCCGCGTCTCTCCTGGGAAGGAAGGTTCTGGACGGGTCTGGACAAGCTCACGGGAGAGTTTTTTCCGAACAACCCAGGACCGTCCCTGGGCTGCATGCCACCCACTCTCCGTGGCTCCCCAGCCCCTGCCAGTGCCCCTCCCCTCCCCCATGTGTTCCAGGGAGGAACTTACCACACCAGGCATGCCGGTGATGCAAGCCTCCTCTGCTTGGTTAATGTTTGCTGAGCGCCCCTTCGGCATTAGGGACAGTGGGAAATGCGTTTCTCAACCGGGGCCTCAGCCAGCTGCCTCAACCCTGTTTCTGCTCCATGGATGGCTACTGCAAGAGATGACGGTCAAAGTTCTCCTCCCTGACCCCCTCTGGCGGGAGAATGGACGATGCTGAGATGTGGAAGGGGAACAGACAGACTCAGCCCTGCCAAGCACAGGGCCGGTCTGGAGTCAGATTGCTGGGGAGACGGGCAGCCCTCCTACTCGGAGACTCTCAGCTTTGCTAGTTAGATCAGTCGCTTGAAGGTAGACACAATTTCCAGGTTAACTGAAACTCCTCATTTTAAACACGGAGGGAACCACAGTACCCTAAGTGGGGTGGGGTCCACCAGTGCCTCCACTTCCCTTCATGGCTTCAAGGCACCTGGCTAAAGTCAGAGGCCCACTTCTCTAAGGAGGTGGCCCAACCCTTAGGACTTTTCCGACAAAAGAACCGAGGTCTTTCATCCTCCTCCATACAGGTGAAGACTGGCCACCAAGGGTGCATTCACTTGCACCCTGTAAAGATTCCCTTCCTGTCTTCAGCATGGCAGCCGGCTGGGCAGAGAACAATACAAGGAAGTCCGTGATCACTGTGATCGCTTCTTGGGGTGAGCCGAGTGCATCAGAGGACATGACAGGCATGATCCAGGAGCCCCTGGCAGCAGCGCTTCCCCCTCTGCCTCGTCCCCTGGGAGCTCCAGCTCCCTGCAGCCCCGCCGCTGCCTTGTGTGGTCTTCCCTATTTCTAAACCACAACCGGCCGAAAGTCAGCTAGACAGCCAGTAAGAAAGCAGGTGAGTGCAGTTGCCTGAAGAATGCCCACGGCCTGCCCCAGTGCCAGAGCGGAAAAGGGCGGCCAGTGGCCAGTGACTGGACATTTCTCATGCTGATTTTAAGAAAAAGCAAGAAGAGGTGTGGACATTAGGGGTTTTTTTGGGGGGTGCTATTTTTGCTAGTACTGGAGCTTGAATTCAGGGTCTAGGTGCTGTTCCTTCACTTTTTCCACTCAAAGCTAGCACTCAACATTGGTGCTACAGCTCTACTTCTGGCTCTGTGTGTGTGTGTGTGGTTAAGTAGAGATAAGACACTTGCCAATTTTCCTTCCCCATGCTGGCTTAGAACCACGACCCTCAGATCTCAGCCTTCTGAGTAGCGAGGATCACAAGTGTGAGCCATCAGTGTCCTGCATTCTTTCTAAATAACTGCCGTTTATCTACGTTGAGGACAGAGCCCACGCCTGGGTTCTGCATGCTGAGAATGTGTGGAAGAGTACCAGTGAGAAGGAGCAGGCTTCTTCAGGATAAGAAGAGCCTTGTGGAAGAAGGTTGGACCACAGCAATGTACTTAATGCTGTGGAAAATGTACTGACCACTGCGTACAAATGGCAAAGATGGAAATTTTAATGTGATGTGTATTTTACCATACTTTATATAGAGAGAGAGGGAAAGGGAGGTTTCTTTATAATATATTTTTTAAAACAAGGATACAGGAGGTGGTTTGGGGGGGTCCCCTTAGTCAAATCTTAGTTTGAGTACCAAATTAATAGTAACAGATTATTATACATATAATAAAGTAGGAATCTGAGAGTTATAGAAATGAATGATATGTCAGTGCAGGAAAGAGATGGGAGATTTCTTTTGTGGATCACCATTGAGAAATGTTGAAGGAAGGCTGGAATTAGAAACTCACAGCTTGGCTCTGGTTACTACAGGCAAGAGCGATCAGAGATCATTAAAATCGGTGGGAAAGAATTTAGCTTGATGAGACATGGAATATTAATATGGTCTCGTGATATCTCCTCATGCAAAGGGAAGAATCACTGCATAGCTTGGGAACCTGGCAGGCACCACCTTAACACATTGGAAACCTGGCAGGCACCACCTTAACAACAGAAAAAACTGGTTTCCTCCCCAGGAATGGGCTGCAGGACACCCTATCCTGGTAGTACAGGCTGCAAACACGTGACTGCTCTCTGGTTCCTGCCAAAAAATTATCCTAGTGTGTCTAACACGAAGCACTTACAAGCCAGCTCACACCAGGGGGCATGTCACAGAATCGGTCACCTGACAGAAATGTGCAGACCCATAGGCTTTTAGCAGGGTTTTTTTCTCTCTCTCTCTTTTGCTAGAAAGCATAGTAGTGAGACAAAAAATGAAGATGAGAAGACTTTTGTAGATAAGCTAAAATGTATCCTGTCAATGTTACTTTCCATGTTCTGCTCATTGTACTGTTTCTGGGAGAGAATGTCCTTGATTTTAGGAACTCTGAAAGGTTTAGGAATGAAAGGTCATTGGCTCTGTAATGTACTCAAGAACGGTTTGGAAAAACAAGAAAGGTTCAGAGAGAGGATGAAAACTCCCAAGTTTCACATTTATTAGCGATATCTTAAAATTATTTGTCCCAACATTTCTCTAAGCCTGAAATTATTTTCTAAAGGACATGGGTGGGTTTCTGTTAGTTTGTTTCTGCTGTTGTTTTAAAGATTTCCCGACTGCATTTCTGCCAGGACTGCTGACCACAGACCCTAGTCCTTAGACCACCTGCAGCAGCTCTCAGACTGAAGCGTTTAAGGACTTGTCTGGGAAACCTTAGAAAAACTACAGTGCTTGCCCACAGCAGGGACAGGAGAGACACCCCAGAACAGAACGGCTGGAAAGCTGGTTGATGGGGTTCTTGGAATGCCTCCCATTTCTGAGGGACAGAGCAGAAGGAAAGCCATGTCTACAGCCTGCCTTGTCTGTCCTGGATTCTGGGCTGTGACGCCCAGTGGAGGCCATCCTCGAATAGCGACCCAGGTGCTAATCAGAGGCACGGCCCAAGAAGGAAACGGTACTACTGTGAGCCACCCTGAGCAGTAGGGGCCCTAAAAAGTTCACTTGGGGAAAAAATGACCCAGCTTGAACCATGCGTTCTGGCCAAAGCAAAACCATGTTGAAAGGCCAAGGGTGAAAGCCCCGGGCCTGACAGACCTTTCTTATCCTTTCCTCCTCTCCTACCTCCACCCCACTGCCAGGCTGGGAGCCCTCCAAGCTCCCTCTGTTGGTGGAAAGGAGCAGTGCCCAGGCCCAGGTGGTCCAGCCTGGCCTAGGCAGGTCTGCAGCCCTGCCAAAGCCAGCTGAATCTCCACGGGAGGCACCTGCCCCATCCTCTACCAATGTGAACTCAGCTTCCTGCAGTTTGCAGTTGTTACTGGCTGCCCTGGGAACTCAAGGGGAGGGTCTGGGTCTCACCCATTCCTGACCAACTCAGCCTTTGAGGCAGGCTTGGTGATTATATGTAGACATTTGGGAAAGTTCAAGGTAAAATCCCAGAGACACACTTGTTAGACGTGTTCAAGCCCTACCAATGGTTAGGCTGAGGATGCTGTTTCTGGTCCAGGACTTGGCACATAGTAGGTGCTCAGTAAAAAGATATGAAGTGAGATTTGAACAGGTAGGTACCTACCTCACTAACTGATTTGGGGTGTTATGAGGCAGAGATTCATACCCAGAACATGCGCTTCCAAAGCCTGCTGGAATATTTGTCTGGTCAGATGCCTGTCACTTTACTGATTACACCCCTTTCTCTCTTTGAGTGACCTGAAGAGGTTCAGGTTCAAACCCAGCAGTCCCCCCCACACACACCCACAAACCAAGCAGCGGGACCAGCTCCCAGGCAGCAAGAGGACTTGATTTGACATGAAGAACATGACAAGGACTGGAGAGGAATCAGAGGATTGTGGCATTCTGCACTCGGGGAGCAGAATACAAAGTACCCAGCGGAGATGAGTGACATCTTCTTCGTCATGGCAACGCCAGCAGATGTGACATAAGCCACTCAGAGGCGGAGAGGCAGCTAAGAAAAGGAACAGGTTCAGCCCGGGACAGCCAAGTGACGGGCTCAGGTGAAGCCTCCCAGGGCATCTGTGCTCCTCCAGCTCTATCTGGGAGCAGAGCAACCTCAGGGTCGCTTCCAGTCACAAGGGCTCAGCACTAGAAGGTGGCAGCCACTCTGCCACCACTGTCACCTGCCCCATGGGCACTGCAGGCCCACCCCCTTACCCCCCTTCCCACTCCACAAGCTTGCCTCGCCTTCTGTGCTGTCTTCCTGCTGCTGTGCAGAGACATTTTAGACCTGGTTCTGGACAGAACTGGGGTGCTCAACCCACCTTCTCCTCTTTTCCTGAGATCTCCCAACTCCTTACCTACAGAACCAGAAGATAAGCTCGGTATGCACACGCACACACACCACCACCACCACCACCACCACCACCACCATCACCAATGGCAGCCACAGGAAAGGGGCCTCAGTGGAAGGAAAGTCTCCTAGAATCCACGGGATGCTCGCTCACCAGCGGTGTCTATCATTTCTGTGGCCCCATCTGTAAAATGAGGATAGTAATTTTAACCACACACACACACACACACACACACTCACACACACAGCCCCCCCCCCCATGCCAGGTTGAAAACTATTCGCACTGAGCTGGGGTGGTGGGGAGGGGAGGGAGGCAGCTCAGTGGCAGGGCTGGGTGGGTCCTGGGGGTCGTGGGCCGTCTCCACAGCAGCCATGCAAGGCTTGGGAACCCTTAGGAAGCAAATACGATTTCAGGAGGAAGAAGATTCTCCTCCCATCCGTTGTTTGATAGCTGTCAAACTCTACAAAGGAAAAAGAGCATGAACACAAATAGGGGTGGGAGTGTAGATTGACTCAGTGTGTGGGAAGCTGACCTTTTCCAAACACAGGACAGTGATCGGAGTCATCTTGCAGGGACCCAGTGCGCTCCCTGCCAGGGGCGGGGAGGAGTGGGGGAGACGAGGTCACCGCCCACCG